GGTCTCACTATGGTTGTATTTTTTCATAATACGATATCTAATATTAAAATCCATATATTAATTAAACTTTTTCTTATATTACTATATTAGTATATATGTAATCAAACGTAGCATAAAGCGAATCCTATTTTTTTTCGTAATTAACACCTTCTTATATTATTTCATCAACTTTAAACTTCTTAATTTGAACAAGTAAAAAATGAGTTAATTCGGTTGTTAGGAGTTTTTTTAGTTGCTCTTGATTGACTTAATTAAAAATAAAAGGCTTAAGGGTCATAAATGTCCTTGTAGTAGACCAAATTTATTAATTTCGCCCCTATTATATTTTCGTATCAATTTTGTCTTCGAAGTTGTTTAATTTCATCAATTTTTACCCTTTAACCGTCTTGACTAACAGAACCGTTAATTTCTACTGATGTGAACGCCATTTGTTTCCACCTCAGATTATTTTGTTGACTATTTTGTTGACGTGTCAACTTGATGATGTGGTAATATAAAAAATATTATTATTTTAAATAAACAATTACACAAAAATCTCCATTCCCCCTAATCCCTAATCAAACACAATCAATTTTTTTTTCATTGGATTGAAAACGCAACTTCCATGAAAACAAAACTCGTGTCATTCCTCCCACCATGCACTGTCGTTCACCCCTGCTCTGACCGACTGTGGCATGCACCGCCACCACCGGTAGCCTCGGCTTCATACCCTGACCAAACCCAACTTAACTGAATTGTTAGAAATTACATGCGTTATTAGTTTGTTTGCTTCTTCGGTTTGGGTTTCTAACTTTTGTCTTATTATTCAGTGTGACTGCCTCCCTGTGGTAGAGTGGGTTTTAAACCATCTGAAAGTTAATTTGTTGTTTGCAGAGTTAGTTATATCCTTGTATGAGCAGATTCGAAGTAATTATTGGATTGTCAAAGCATATTTCGAGAGTTCTGAATATTGAAGCGGATTCTTTGGTCAAAGATGGCATCGAGAGGGATGTGGAGTTTATTTGCGTTTTCAGTTGATTTATGTTGTAGGGGGCTATTTCTAGTGTGCCAGCGCCCTCGTATTCTGTTTTGTTCTTTGCCGGCGATCCGTTGAAGCTCATTGTGGCTTAAGAAGCATCTACTTACCTTATGTTGCTATCATTATGGTGTAAATGGCTGTTGGCTGTGGTTCAGGCTAGGCTTTTTCATTTGAACATCGTCTCAGAGACCTTTCCTTCGGTCTTCTGTTGTTGCTTCAAAGGGGTGTCCTAGGACTGCTTTTCTGGTCCTTTGCTCGATGGTGCAGCATATTTGGGAGTTAGTCCTTTAGACACTGCAATATTTTTGCTTTGATTTCGGTTTTACTCTTGTTTGTTGTGTCTTTGATAAGAACATTCTTTTGTAATAGCCATTGCCATTGCCGTCGAGGCCTTTCTCCAACTGTTTCTTCACTGTTTATTTAAAAAATAATATTATTTTTTATTATTGCCACGTCATTAGGTTGACATGTCAATAAAATTATCTGAGGTGGAAACAGCTAGAGTCCACATAAACAAAAACTAACGGTTCTGTTAGTCAAGACAGTCAAAAGTAGAAATTGATGAAATTAAACAACTTCGATGATAAAATTGATGTGAATATACGATAGGAGTGAAATTGATAAATTTGGTCTATTACGGGACATATGTGACCCTTAAGCCAAAATAAAATAAAACTTATACTAACATTTGGATGTGATGTAAGATTCGAGGACATCGAAATACTAGAAAATCAAAAATTAGATGAATTTTTATCGATCTTGAGTGAGTTTGTAAAAGATAATTAATGGAGAAAAAAAGGAAAAATACGAATATTTTGATAATCTTCTTATCGTGAACGACGATGAGTGAATGAATTTATCTTTCTTTCTTTTTTTGTAAAAAATAGAAAGTAACGACTACGTGATGTCATTAATAATTTAATGATCTAGTGACAACAAATTAATTTAAAAAATTAAATGCCTTAATTAAATATTTTATAATTCAATAGAAAAAATAAGACAACACTACGACCTTAAACGAGAGCACCATCTTCACCGATCACAGTCTATTAAGCACGTTGGGTTCAGGCGTAAACATAATCACGGTGAAGTTCAGCACCAAGGGTGCCACCAGGAACTCCTATTTGATGCTTATGAAGGATCTGTTTAATGCATTGACTGCCCGAGCAGATAGATCCGGAGATATACCGGTGTTGCCACCTCCATTGCAGTCTGATGATCCTCAACAGTATGTTCTTGTGGAACTATCGAAAGGAGAGCGAACGGTGACATTAGCTTTGAGTGTCAGCGATGTGTATATCTTGGGTTTTCAAGCGGGAGGAAGAAATCGTTACTACTTTTTCAGCGACGTTGCCGATGATGTACGTAACGCTTTGTTCCCTGGCACTCGAAGAGAATCCCTTCCATTTACTGGCCGTTATGGGGCACTTGAAGCTGCTGCAAGAGTCGGTGACAGAAGGGAAATACCTCTGGGGATCGACGAACTAAGCCAACACATTCAGAACATGAATATCTACGAACCCACGCCTGAGAATCGTGCAATCTTTGCAAGAGCCCTCATTGTTACCATCCAAATGCTTTCGGAAGCTGTGCGATCGAGAAACCTCCAGCAACAAATATGTACGGTTTGCGACCCTCTTGCTTATGGAAGGTACTATCCAGATGGTTAATGACGGAGTATGAAAACGGCTAGCGAGCGGAAGTCAAGTGTGGCTCGAGACGTGTGTGCGTCAAGATATCGAACAACAGTGGGCAATATATCCAGATGACACGATCAGGCCACTGAAGAACCGAGATGGGTGTCTAAAATACGGAGACGCGGGTGGGAGCTTGGTCGCCGTGGGAACGTGCGACGGATATGTCGAGGAGCGGTGGCGACTTCAGAGCGATGGATCAATTTTGCATCTAGTGACTCCAAATGTGATGGACGTGGAAGATACCAGTGCAACCCTTCCTCAGATTACTGTCAATTACTACAGCGCCCAACGATCTAGTCAGATTTGGTTCCAAGGGCAGCCATGACATGCACCCGGAATACAAAGATATTTATATGTATTGAAATTAAATAAATAAATGATGGATAAAAAAGATTGTCAAATCGTTTTAGAGAAGGGTGTCCTGATTCTTCCGCTACTGATGTCGGAAGCAACTATGTCCCTTAAAATTCATAAGGTGGTCTTGGGCGGAAAATCATTTAATGCTGGAACAAACATTTAAATGTCATTTTGTAACTTTTATCATTAATTTAAAGAAATAATTGAAATATAAAATGAAAGATACGAATTTGTGTTCGAACGAAGACGAATGTATGTATATTATAAAAGTTAAACTTATGATAAATATTTGGCATAATGCAAACAAATATCCCTAACGTTTGACAGCATATACAAATTTGCACCTATTGTTTTTTTTTGGAACATTTGACCGTATAATGTTTAATTCTGATTCAAAAGTCTCCCGTTGGATGGAAACTGTCAATCAACTGACAGTCAACGGATCCAGATGATTAAGCAAGCATAGGTGGACAACGATGATGATGTGGCGTGTCCACGACACTAATATATGCTGACGTGGAACTGACACATTCGCTTTTTTTAAGAAAATAAATTTTAAATTAAAATTTTGTACCCATAAGAGAGCAACACATGTCACTCTTCTATTGGTGCGTATTGACAAGAATGAATAAAAGGATCCAGAGTGCAGGGAATTTTACTCGAACCTGGGGCAAGGACGTGAAATAGGATGGTCCTTGCCACCAAGCCAAGCATGCTACTCAATTATTTTGTGTAACAAAATTTTAATAAACCCATAATAAATGTTCAGGTTAATAAAACAAAATGATACGCGTGTTTCAAATATATCAAAGGCTTCAAACTGATTTCCCCCAAACCCGAGTATCTCCAAATGCAAATCGATCTAAAACCCTAATCACATATCCTCTTTCAATTCCATCTCCATCAAATTCGAATCAAGAACAAATTCTGAATCTTTTTCCCATCAATTTCCCCATCTCAAATACAATAGAAGGTGAGTTTAGTTTTTAAAGGAAAACCTCGAATATTTGGGCTTGTTTAGGCATAATGGGTTTGGTTAAATATTTTGGTTTACGCCTTTGTCTCGAACCAGTTGTAAAATATTTGGGTTTTCTAACTTGTGGGTTGTTAATAACCATACAAATTGATGTGAAAATTTGTACAAACTATTTTTTTCGAATTGGGTTTTGCACGAAAGGGTATATATTTGGGTTTGAGCCTTATTATTTGGGTTTCTAGCAATGAATCGAAGGTGGAAAATACAATTTGGATACATATATCATGGGTGGGGGACTGCATTTTGTAGGGTATATGAGTGGTGAGACTGCATGTTTGGTTTTTTTATTGGGAAAGTGGTCCTCTATGTTCATGCATCCATTGTTTATTTTTTTACACAGTTTGGGTCCCTCCATGTGCATGCATCCATTGTTTGTTTTTTACACAGTTTGGGTCCCTCCATGTGCATGCTAACATTCATGGAAAACCCATTCGAAACCCGCACAAAGTCAAAACACTCAAAACCCGAAAACCCATTCGAAATTGAGAAAATAATTTATGATTCGATTCAAACAAATCAACTCACCTTCAAAATATGCGCTTTTGTAGTCGGTTTGAAGCTGCTGCTTGAAGGAAAATGAAGAATTTGAGAGGAGAAATGATTTGAAAAATTGGGGTTTCTAAACCCTAAGGTTTAGGGGAAAATCAGTTTGAAGCCTCTGATATATTTAAAACGTGCATATCATTTTGTCTTGCATGGTGTATATATTGCTTCCTTCGGGTTTATCATTGTCTTGCGAAGGCAAGTAGCTTTCATAAACGTGAAATGCATGGTGTGTATATATACATATTGTTAAGCCCTAAGATTATACATTGTGTCATTGCCATTAAACGTATGGATAAGATTTAGGCCAATCACAATTTGACGCGTGTTAAATAATTTATCTATAAAAATGCGTCCTCCTCCTCCCATTTGGAAAGCAAAACAGTTTGTCTATTCTATTCCCATAAAAATCGAAGCTGAGCAAGCCATGAAGGTGTTGGCAATCGCAGTGCTATTGGCCTGCTGGGCATCCGCGGTGGAACCACAAAAACCCTCCATTTATACGTTGAGATTCACCGCCACGGACGCCACCAAAGGAAGGTACGATGCGTTTATGATTGATCTGAGAAGAGTACTGACACTCAATGAGAATGCGGTGCAAGGGATACCCGTGTTGCCTTCCACCAACGATCTGAAACCTACTGATCTCAACCGGTACGTTGTGGTCGAACTCTTCACTAACAACAAAAAGGTGTCGTTAGTTATTGATGTCACCAATGTGTACATCTTGGGTTACCGACCGGGAGACGGAACAGCGTCCTACTTCTTTAACAGTGTTCCCGTGGCCGTACAAAATCTGTTCTTCCAAGGCACTACATGAACCGATCTTAAATTCGATGGCAGCTATGATGCCCTCGAGGGTAAAGCTGGAGAAGACAGAGATAAAATCCCACTGGGATTTGCCGAGCTACACCAAAAGATTGAGAACTTGAACCATTACAAGCCAAAAGACGACATTAAAAAGGTTGCGTCAAGCCTTCTAGTTTGTTTCCAGATGATTTCTGAGGCGGCCCGGTATAAATACATCCAGCAGCAAATAGCTGCACTGGCACCGGTTGTTCCCGGTGGGGCTGGTAAAAGTTTAAAACCAGATGCTTTAATGAAGGGGTATCAAAACAACTGGGGACAGCTCTCCACCGCCGTCCAATCTGCAAAGCCGGATGCAAGTTTTGTGAAAAGTGTCACCGTTGCTCACCTTACTTACAGTAATGTGGCTGCTGTGCGTCCCGTTATTGCGGTACTGCTAAAAGATTCTCCGACCGCATATCATGCTGCCGCCCTTCTTGATCGGTTTATCGACCAAGCACTTACTCAGATTTAGTTCAAAGTGTGACCATGAAAGTGAAAGCAAATGCAATGCCCTAGCATATATGTATCCTATCTATATGTACTGAATGAATAAATAAATGCTAGATCTTAGTAATCCAGCTACATTAGAGCTATCTGAATGAAAATATTATTGTCTTATTTCAATCTCTGTTAGAGCTATCTGATTTCGGTTTCTCTTGTTTGTTGGTTTGTTGTGTCTTTGATAAGAACACTCTTTTGTTACCATTGCCGTCGAGGCCTTTCTTCAGTGTTTATTTAAAATAATAATATTTTTTATTTATTGCCACATCATCAGGTTGACACATCATCAAAATCACCTGAGGTGAAAACAATTGGCGTCCACATCATCAGAAAGTAACGGTTTTATTAGTCAAGACAGTCAAAGGTAGAAATTGATGAAATTAAAAAAAATTAAAAACAAAATTGATGTGAAAATATAATAGAAGTGAAATTGATAAATTTGGTCTACTAAAGGACATATGTGACCCTTCCAAAATAAAATAAAACTTATATAACATTTGGATGTGATGTAAGATTCAATGACATTGAAATACTAGAAAATAAAAATTTAGATGATTTTTTATCGATCTTGAGTGAGTTTGTAAAAGATAATTCATGAAAAAAAAGAAAAAAGAAAAAAAAATATGAATATTTTGATATTCTTCTTCTTATCGTGAACGATGATAAATAAAAGAATTTATATTCTTCTTTTTTTTGTAAAAAATAGAAAGTAATGACCGCATCAGGCTAAATCTACGAGATAATGTGTTGAAATTATTTATTTCACGAGATAACGTTCTCCCAAGATTAATTGCTGAAGTAGGGCGAATTGTGTTGGCCGTAGGTCGCCATGCCTTCCGGGCGACTTACGACGTGGCAGCTTCAGACGTCCCATGCACAACCCAACCCATAGGTCGCCATGCACTCTCAGCGACCAAGGAGGTCGCCATGCACGCCCGGCGACCTTGTCTCCTTGCATGGCCATGTGATATTTCTGCACTTCCCGCTATATGGATGCAATGCATGCATGAGGGAGCAGAGGGTTAAAGCTTGGTCGTCGGGCAGGAATCTCCCAGCTATGACATGCAAGGCGTGCAGAGGGTTAAAAGCTTGGTCGCCGGGCATGAATGGCGACCTCCTTGGTCGCCCGGAGTGCATGGCGACCTAGGAGGTCGCTGGGAGTGCATGGCGACCTATGGGTTGGGTTGTGCTGCCACGTCGTAGGTCGCCCGGAAGGCATGGCGACCTACGGCCAACACTGTGCAATTCACCATACTTCAGCAATTAATCTTGGGAGAACGTTATCTCGTGAAATAAATAATTCTAACACATTATCTCGTAGATTTAACCGACCGCATCATGTCATTAATAATTTAATGATTTAGTAAAAAATAATTTAAAAAATTAAATGCCTTAATTAAATATTTTATAGTTCAATAGAAAAATAAGACAACACTACGACTTAAAACGAGAGCACCATCTTCACCGATCACAGTCTATTAAGCACGTTGGGTTCAGGCGTAAACATAATCACGGTGAAGTTCAGCACCAAGGGTGCCACCAGGAACTCCTATTTGATTCTTATGAAGGATCTGTTTAATGCATTGACTGCCCGTGCAGATAGATCCGGAGATATACCGGTGTTGCCACCTCCATTGCAGCCTGATGATCCTCAACAGTATGTTCTTGTGGAACTATCGAAAGGAGAGCGAACGGTGACATTAGCTTTGAGTGTCAGCGATGTGTATATCTTGGGTTTTCAAGCGGGAGGAAGAAATCGTTACTACTTTTTCAGCGACGTTGCCGATGATGTACGTAACGCTTTGTTCCCTGGCACTCGAAGAGAATCCCTTCCATTTACTGGCCGTTATGGGGCACTTGAAGCTGCTGCAAGAGTCGGTGACAGAAGGGAAATACCTCTGGGGATCGACGAACTAAGCCAACACATTCAGAACATGAATATCTACGAACCCACGCCTGAGAATCGTGCAATCTTTGCAAGAGCCCTCATTGTTACCATCCAAATGCTTTCGGAAGCTGTGCGATCGAGAAACCTCCAGCAACAAATATGTACGGTTTGCGACCCTCTTGCTTATGGAAGGTACTATCCAGATGGTTAATGACGGAGTATGAAAACGGCTAGCGAGCGGAAGTCAAGTGTGGCTCGAGACGTGTGTGCGTCAAGATATCGAACAACAGTGGGCAATATATCCAGATGACACGATCAGGCCACTGAAGAACCGAGATGGGTGTCTAAATACGGAGACGCGGGTGGGAGCTTGGTCGCCGTGGGAACGTGCGACGGATATGTCGAGGAGCGGTGGCGACTTCAGAGCGATGGATCAATTTTGCATCTAGTGACTCCAAATGTGATGGACGTGGAAGATACCAGTGCAACCCTTCCTCAGATTACTGTCAATTACTACAGCGCCCAACGATCTAGTCAGATTTGGTTCCAAGGGCAGCCATGACATGCACCCGGAATACAAAGATATTATATGTATTGAAATTAAATAAATAAATGATGGATAAAAAAGATTGTCAAATCGTTTTAGAGAAGGGTGTCCTGATTCTTCCGCTACTGATGTCGGAAGCAACTATGTCCCTTAAAATTCATAAGGTGGTCTTGGGCGGAAAATCATTTAATGCTGGAACAAACATTTAAATGTCATTTTGTAACTTTTATCATTAATTTAAAGAAATAATTGAAATATAAAATGAAAGATACGAATTTGTGTTCGAACGAAGACGAATGTATGTATATTATAAAAGTTAAACTTATGATAAATATTTGGCATAATGCAAACAAATATCCCTAACGTTTGACAGCATATACAAATTTGCACCTATTGTTTTTTTTTGGAACATTTGACCGTATAATGTTTAATTCTGATTCAAAAGTCTCCCGTTGGATGGAAACTGTCAATCAACTGACAGTCAACGGATCCAGATGATTAAGCAAGCATAGGTGGACAACGATGATGATGTGGCGTGTCCACGACACTAATATATGCTGACGTGGAACTGACACATTCGCTTTTTTTAAGAAAATAAATTTTAAATTAAAATTTTGTACCCATAAGAGAGCAACACATGTCACTCTTCTATTGGTGCGTATTGACAAGAATGAATAAAAGGATCCAGAGTGCAGGGAATTTTACTCGAACCTGGGGCAAGGACGTGAAATAGGATGGTCCTTGCCACCAAGCCAAGCATGCTACTCAATTATTTTGTGTAACAAAATTTTAATAAACCCATAATAAATGTTCAGGTTAATAAAACAAAATGATACGCGTGTTTCAAATATATCAAAGGCTTCAAACTGATTTCCCCCAAACCCGAGTATCTCCAAATGCAAATCGATCTAAAACCCTAATCACATATCCTCTTTCAATTCCATCTCCATCAAATTCGAATCAAGAACAAATTCTGAATCTTTTTCCCATCAATTTCCCCATCTCAAATACAATAGAAGGTGAGTTTAGTTTTTAAAGGAAAACCTCGAATATTTGGGCTTGTTTAGGCATAATGGGTTTGGTTAAATATTTTGGTTTACGCCTTTGTCTCGAACCAGTTGTAAATATTTGGGTTTTCTAACTTGTGGGTTGTTAATAACCATACAAATTGATGTGAAAATTTGTACAAACTATTTTTTTCGAATTGGGTTTTGCACGAAAGGGTATATATTTGGGTTTGAGCCTTATTATTTGGGTTTCTAGCAATGAATCGAAGGTGGAAAATACAATTTGGATACATATATCATGGGTGGGGGACTGCATTTTGTAGGGTATATGAGTGGTGAGACTGCATGTTTGGTTTTTTATTGGGAAAGTGGTCCTCTATGTTCATGCATCCATTGTTTTTTTTTTACACAGTTTGGGTCCCTCCATGTGCATGCATCCATTGTTTGTTTTTTACACAGTTTGGGTCCCTCCATGTGCATGCTAACATTCATGGAAAACCCATTCGAAACCCGCACAAAGTCAAAACACTCAAAACCCGAAAACCCATTCGAAATTGAGAAAATAATTTATGATTCGATTCAAACAAATCAACTCACCTTCAAAATATGCGCTTTTGTAGTCGGTTTGAAGCTGCTGCTTGAAGGAAAATGAAGAATTTGAGAGGAGAAATGATTTGAAAAATTGGGGTTTCTAAACCCTAAGGTTTAGGGGAAAATCAGTTTGAAGCCTCTGATATATTTAAAACGTGCATATCATTTTGTCTTGCATGGTGTATATATTGCTTCCTTCGGGTTTATCATTGTCTTGCGAAGGCAAGTAGCTTTCATAAACGTGAAATGCATGGTGTGTATATATACATATATTGTTAAGCCCTAAGATTATACATTGTGTCATTGCCATTAAACGTATGGATAAGATTTAGGCCAATCACAATTTGACGCGTGTTAAATAATTTATCTATAAAAATGCGTCCTCCTCCTCCCATTTGGAAAGCAAAACAGTTTGTCTATTCTATTCCCATAAAAATCGAAGCTGAGCAAGCCATGAAGGTGTTGGCAATCGCAGTGCTATTGGCCTGCTGGGCATCCGCGGTGGAACCACAAAAACCCTCCATTTATACGTTGAGATTCACCGCCACGGACGCCACCAAAGGAAGGTACGATGCGTTTATGATTGATCTGAGAAGAGTACTGACACTCAATGAGAATGCGGTGCAAGGGATACCCGTGTTGCCTTCCACCAACGATCTGAAACCTACTGATCTCAACCGGTACGTTGTGGTCGAACTCTTCACTAACAACAAAAAGGTGTCGTTAGTTATTGATGTCACCAATGTGTACATCTTGGGTTACCGACCGGGAGACGGAACAGCGTCCTACTTCTTTAACAGTGTTCCCGTGGCCGTACAAAATCTGTTCTTCCAAGGCACTACATGAACCGATCTTAAATTCGATGGCAGCTATGATGCCCTCGAGGGTAAAGCTGGAGAAGACAGAGATAAAATCCCACTGGGATTTGCCGAGCTACACCAAAAGATTGAGAACTTGAACCATTACAAGCCAAAAGACGACATTAAAAAGGTTGCGTCAAGCCTTCTAGTTTGTTTCCAGATGATTTCTGAGGCGGCCCGGTATAAATACATCCAGCAGCAAATAGCTGCACTGGCACCGGTTGTTCCCGGTGGGGCTGGTAAAGTTTAAAACCAGATGCTTTAATGAAGGGGTATCAAAACAACTGGGGACAGCTCTCCACCGCCGTCCAATCTGCAAAGCCGGATGCAAGTTTTGTGAAAAGTGTCACCGTTGCTCACCTTACTTACAGTAATGTGGCTGCTGTGCGTCCCGTTATTGCGGTACTGCTAAAAGATTCTCCGACCGCATATCATGCTGCCGCCCTTCTTGATCGGTTTATCGACCAAGCACTTACTCAGATTTAGTTCAAAGTGTGACCATGAAAGTGAAAGCAAATGCAATGCCCTAGCATATATGTATCCTATCTATATGTACTGAATGAATAAATAAATGCTAGATCTTAGTAATCCAGCTACATTAGAGCTATCTGAATGAAAATATTATTGTCTTATTTCAATCTCTGTTAGAGCTATCTGATTTCGGTTTCTCTTGTTTGTTGGTTTGTTGTGTCTTTGATAAGAACACTCTTTTGTTACCATTGCCGTCGAGGCCTTTCTTCAGTGTTTATTTAAAAATAATAATATTTTTTATTTATTGCCACATCATCAGGTTGACACATCATCAAAATCACCTGAGGTGAAAACAATTGGCGTCCACATCATCAGAAAGTAACGGTTTTATTAGTCAAGACAGTCAAAGGTAGAAATTGATGAAATTAAAAAAAATTAAAAACAAAATTGATGTGAAAATATAATAGAAGTGAAATTGATAAATTTGGTCTACTACAGGACATATGTGACCCTTCCAAAATAAAATAAAACTTATATAACATTTGGATGTGATGTAAGATTCAATGACATTGAAATACTAGAAAATAAAAATTTAGATGATTTTTTATCGATCTTGAGTGAGTTTGTAAAAGATAATTCATGAAAAAAAAGAAAAAAGAAAAAAAAATATGAATATTTTGATATTCTTCTTCTTATCGTGAACGATGATAAATAAAAGAATTTATATTCTTCTTTTTTTTGTAAAAAATAGAAAGTAATGACCGCATCAGGCTAAATCTACGAGATAATGTGTTGAAATTATTTATTTCACGAGATAACGTTCTCCCAAGATTAATTGCTGAAGTAGGGCGAATTGTGTTGGCCGTAGGTCGCCATGCCTTCCGGGCGACTTACGACGTGGCAGCTTCAGACGTCCCATGCACAACCCAACCCATAGGTCGCCATGCACTCTCAGCGACCAAGGAGGTCGCCATGCACGCCCGGCGACCTTGTCTCCTTGCATGGCCATGTGATATTTCTGCACTTCCCGCTATATGGATGCAATGCATGCATGAGGGAGCAGAGGGTTAAAGCTTGGTCGTCGGGCAGGAATCTCCCAGCTATGACATGCAAGGCGTGCAGAGGGTTAAAAGCTTGGTCGCCGGGCATGAATGGCGACCTCCTTGGTCGCCCGAGTGCATGGCGACCTAGGAGGTCGCTGGGAGTGCATGGCGACCTATGGGTTGGGTTGTGCTGCCACGTCGTAGGTCGCCCGGAAGGCATGGCGACCTACGGCCAACACTGTGCAATTCACCATACTTCAGCAATTAATCTTGGGAGAACGTTATCTCGTGAAATAAATAATTCTAACACATTATCTCGTAGATTTAACCGACCGCATCATGTCATTAATAATTTAATGATTTAGTAAAAAATAATTTAAAAAATTAAATGCCTTAATTAAATATTTTATAGTTCAATAGAAAAATAAGACAACACTACGACTTAAAACGAGAGCACCATCTTCACCGATCACAGTCTATTAAGCACGTTGGGTTCAGGCGTAAACATAATCACGGTGAAGTTCAGCACCAAGGGTGCCACCAGGAACTCCTATTTGATTCTTATGAAGGATCTGTTTAATGCATTGACTGCCCGTGCAGATAGATCCGGATATACCGGTGTTGCCACCTCCATTGCAGCCTGATGATCCTCAACAGTATGTTCTTGTGGAACTATCGAAAGGAGAGCGAACGGTGACATTAGCTTTGAGTGTCAGCGATGTGTATATCTTGGGTTTTCAAGCGGGAGGAAGAAATCGTTACTACTTTTTCAGCGACGTTGCCGATGATGTACGTAACGCTTTGTTCCCTGGCACTCGAAGAGAATCCCTTCCATTTACTGGCCGTTATGGGGCACTTGAAGCTGCTGCAAGAGTCGGTGACAGAAGGGAAATACCTCTGGGGATCGACGAACTAAGCCAACACATTCAGAACATGAATATCTACGAACCCACGCCTGAGAATCGTGCAATCTTTGCAAGAGCCCTCATTGTTACCATCCAAATGCTTTCGGAAGCTGTGCGATCGAGAAACCTCCAGCAACAAATATGTACGGTTTGCGACCCTCTTGCTTATGGAAGGTACTATCCAGATGGTTAATGACGGAGTATGAAAACGGCTAGCGAGCGGAAGTCAAGTGTGGCTCGAGACGTGTGTGCGTCAAGATATCGAACAACAGTGGGCAATATATCCAGATGACACGATCAGGCCACTGAAGAACCGAGATGGGTGTCTAAAATACGGAGACGCGGGTGGGAGCTTGGTCGCCGTGGGAACGTGCGACGGATATGTCGAGGAGCGGTGGCGACTTCAGAGCGATGGATCAATTTTGCATCTAGTGACTCCAAATGTGATGGACGTGGAAGATACCAGTGCAACCCTTCCTCAGATTACTGTCAATTACTACAGCGCCCAACGATCTAGTCAGATTTGGTTCCAAGGGCAGCCATGACATGCACCCGGAATACAAAGATATTTATATGTATTGAAATTAAATAAATAAATGATGGATAAAAAAGATTGTCAAATCGTTTTAGAGAAGGGTGTCCTGATTCTTCCGCTACTGATGTCGGAAGCAACTATGTCCCTTAAAATTCATAAGGTGGTCTTGGGCGGAAAATCATTTAATGCTGGAACAAACATTTAAATGTCATTTTGTAACTTTTATCATTAATTTAAAGAAATAATTGAAATATAAAATGAAAGATACGAATTTGTGTTCGAACGAAGACGAATGTATGTATATTATAAAAGTTAAACTTATGATAAATATTTGGCATAATGCAAACAAATATCCCTAACGTTTGACAGTATATACAAATTTTGCACCTATTGTTTTTTTTTGGAACATTTGACCCCACGACGTTTAATTTTGATTCAAAAGGCCCCCCTTGGATGGAAATTGTCCGTCAACTGACGGTCAACGGATCCAGATGATTAAGCAAGCACAGGTGGACATCGATGATGAAGTGACGTGTCCACGCCACTAATATATGCTGACGTGGAATTGACACGTCTGCTTTTTTTTTTGTTTAAAAATAAATTTTAAATTATAATTTTGTACCAATAAGAGAGCTACACGTGTCACTCTCCTATTGGTGCGTATTGACAAGTATGAATAAAAGGATCCAGAGTGTGGGGAATGTGACTTAAACCTAGGGCAAGGGCGTGAAATGGGATGACCCTTACCATCAGGCCAAGCATGCTACTCAATTATTTTGTGGAATAAAATCTTAATAAATCCATAATAAATGTTCAGGTTAATAAAACAAAACGATACGCGTGTTTCAAATATATTAGAGGCTTCAAAATGATTTCCCCCAAACCCAAGTATCCCCAAATGCAAATCAATCTGAAACCATAATCGCATATCCCCTTTCAATTTCATCTCTATCAAATTTGAATCAAGAATGAATTTCGGATCTTTTCTCCATTCAATCTCTCCATCTCAAAATACAATATAAGGCGAGTTTAGCTTTTAAAAGAAAACCTCGAATATTTGGGTTTGTTTAGGCATAATGGGTTTGGTTAAATGTTTTGGTTTAGGCCTTTGTCTCGAATCAGTTGTAAAATATTTGGGTTTTCTAACTTGTGGGTTGTTAATAACTGTACAAATTGATGTGAAAATTTGTACAAAGTTTTTTTTTGTTTGGGTTTTGCATGAAAGGGTATATATTTATGGCTGAGCCTTTATTATTTGGGTTTCCAGTAATGAATCGAAGGTGGAAAGCACAATTTGAATGCATATATCATTGGTGGGGGACTGCATTTTATAGGGTATATGAGTGGTAGGGACTGCATGTTTGTTTGTTTGTTTTTGGGAAAGTGGTCCATCCATGTTCTTGCATCCATTGTTTGTTTTTTACATAGTTTGGGTCCCTCCATGTGCATGCTAACATTCATTGAAAACCCATTCGAAATTGAGGAAATAATTTATGATTCTAGTCAAACAAATCAACTCACCTTCGAAATATACGCTTCTATAGTCGGTTTGAGGCTGCTGCTTGAAGGAAAATGAAGAATTTGAGAGGATAAATGATTTGAAATATTGGGGTTTCTAAACCCGAAGGTTTAGGGGGAAAATCCGTTTGAAGACTTTGATATATTAAAACGTGCATATCATTTTGTTTTATTAACCTGAACATTTATTATGGGTTTATTAAGATTTTGTTACACAAAATAAGTAAGTAGCATGTTTGGCCTGGTGGCAAGGGTCATCCCATTTCATGCCCTTGCCCCAAGTTCGAGTCCCATTCCTCGCATTTTGGATCCTGTTATTCATTCTTGCCAATACGCACTAATAGGAGAGTGACACATGTTGCTCTTTTATTGGTACAAAATTCTAATTTAAAATTTATTTTAAACAAAAAAAGCTGACGTGGATACGTCAGTATATATTAGTGACGTGGACACGTTACATCATCATCGTTGTCCACCTGTGCTTGCTTAGTCATCTGAATCCGTTGACCGTCAGTTGACTGGCGGTTTCCATCAAACGGGAGAACTTTTGAATCAAAATTAAATGTTGTGGGGTCAAATGTTTCAAAAAAAACAATAGGGATAAATTTGTATATATTGTTAAACGTTAGGGGTATTTCTTTGCATTATTCCTAAATATTTCGAATAGGTTGTAAGGAAATTTGTTTTTCGCATTGCAATTCTACAAATGAATATATGTGTGTTCACACGTGTGCAATGGGAACGCTGACATGTTTTTTGTGTGTCTGTGCTCTTTCATTTTTGGATGTAGATTCGTTTTGTTTGTCATTTTAGGGGTGGGGTGTTATTCCGGTCGTATATGTCTTTTTCTCTATTAGAAGAGTTTTATAATAATAATAAGCTTACCTAAACCAAACTGAACGATAAAAAACAATATACTTTAAGAATTAATTCATACGTTAAGCCTTTTTAAAATATACCGCTTAATACTAAAATAATTGTTTAAATTGTACCTTGAATAGGTGTCTAATCTATTTTTTGATTTATTTCGGTGTCTAATGTTATAAACGTTATCACTTTAGGTGTACGGACCATCAACGGTGTTAATTTTTCCCGTTAAGTGACACGTGTCAAAATCTGGTAATTTTAAAAATTTTATTTAAAATTAAAAGAATTAAGATTATATATATATATATATTAAAAGAAAACACAAAAAATTTGAAATAACCTCAAAACTTTGAAAATCTTCATTTCAACCCTTAAATCCATGTCGGTTATTGCCCTTTACCGTCGATGAAGTTGCACCCGACCTCACCTCCCCCCGACTACTAAAACCCCTATGAAATCGTGACCGACGGAGAATCAACGTTTCATACCCCTCAAATCCTAGGATGAAAATCGTGATCCCACGCAATTTCGACAGTTAATCACCGGTAAATACGACATCATATAACTAAGAGGATGACATGGACTACGTTAGCGGTGGCGGTGGGTTAAGGTTATGATTTGTGGATTTAAGGATTCTGGGACTTTTTATAGTTTAAGAGAAATTAGGGGTATTTTTATAAAATATAATAATATATTTTTAAAAAATAAATTTCAAAATATCATATTGTGACACGTGTCACTTAACGGAGAAAATTAACGCCGTTGACAACCCGGGCACCTAAAATAATAACGTTTATAACATTAGACATCGAATGAGTCAAAAAGTAGTTTAGACATCTATTAAAAAATGGTACAGTTTAAACACTTATTTTAGTATTAAAGAAATATATATATATATATACCGAAGAGTGTCCGGGTTAAGCAATGGCCAAGAACTCAATGTTGGATATAAAAATAATTCTAGAGAAAAATAAAAAGAAAAAAAACATATTAAGACAAAAATAGAAAAGGAAAAGAAATTATGTATCAACTTAACCAACAAATTATTTTAATAGAAATACGATCATATATTTTTATTTTGTTCTATTATATATTATTTTTTAAGAGATCACATTCTACTATTTTACTTACGGCCCAAAAAGGATCAGGATCGGGATTGTATATATATATATATACAGTCCCGGTCCTTATCCTTTCATAAATGTGAAATGCATGCTATATATATATTTTGTTTCCTTCGGGTTTATCATTGTCTTGCGAAGGCAAGTAGCTTTCATAAATGTGAAATGCATGCCATATATATATATATATATATTTGTTAAGCCCTATGATTATACATTGTGTCATTGCCACTACACGTATGGATAAGATTTAGGCAAACAGCCAATCACAATTTGACGCGTGCTAAATAATTTATCTATAATAATGCGTCGTCCTCCTCCCATTTGGAAAGCAAAACAGGTTGTCTATTCTATTCCCATAAAAATCGAAGCTGAGCAAGTCATGAAGGTGTTGGTTATCGCAGTGCTATTGGCCTGCTGGGCATCCGCGGTGGAACCACAACAACCCCCCATTTATAAGGTGAGATTCACCGCCACGGACGCCACCAAAAGCACGTACGATGTGTTTATGAACGGTCTGAGAAGCGCACTGACAGTCGATGCGAGTTCGGTGCAAGGGATACCGGTGTTGCCTTCCACCAACGATCTGAAACCTAATGATCTCCACCGGTACGTTGTGGTCGAACTCTTCACTAACAACAAGGGAAAAAACAACAAAAACGTGTCGTTAGTTATTGATGTCACCAATGTGTACATCTTGGGTTACCGACCGGGAGACGGAGCAGCGTCCTACTTCTTTAACACTGTTCCCGTGGCCGTACAAAATCTGTTCTTCCAAGGCACTACAAGAACCGATCTTAAATTCGATGGCAGCTATGATACCCTCCAGGGTAAAGCTGGAGAAGACAGAGATCAAATCCCACTGGGATTTGCCGAGCTACGCCAAAAGATTGAGAACTTGAACCATTACACGCCAAAAGCCGACATTAAAAAGGTGGCGTCAAGCCTTCTAGTTTGTCTCCAGATGATTTCTGAGGCGGCCCGGTATAAAGTCATCCAGCAGCAAATAGCTGCACTGGCACCGGCTGTTGCCGGTGGGGCTGATAAAAGTTTAAAACCAGATGGTTTAATGAAGGGGTATCAAACCAACTGGGGACAGCTCTCCACCGCCGTCCAATCTGCAAAGCCGGATGGAAGTTTTGTGAAAAGTGTCACCGTTGCTCACCTTACTTACAGTAATGTGGCTGCTGTGCGTCCCGTTATTGCGGTACTGCTAAAAGATTCTCCGACCGCATATCATGCTGCCGCCCTTCTCGATCGGTTTATCGACCAAGCACTTACTCAGATTTAGTTCAAAGTGTGACCATGAAAGTGAAAGCACATGCAATGCCCTAGCATATATGTATCCTATCTATATGTACTGAATGAATAAATAAATGCTAGATCTTAGCATATATGTATCCTATCTATATGTACTGAATGAATAAATAAATGCTAGATCTTAGTAATCCAGCTACATTAGAGCTATCTGAATAAAAATATTATTGTCTTATTTCAATATCTGTTATAGCATTTCAAATTTTGATAATTTTTTATAACTATCGATATCCAATCTATAGATCGACTAATCCGGAGCGGATACTGCAAAGGCAATGACGATACTCATGGCCCAGTTTGTTCCATTCACAATTGCGAGGATTTGAACCACTGACCTTACTTAAGAGATTTAACGTCTTATCTCACTAAATTGTTGGTTCAAATTTTGATAATTTTAAAATCATTAAAATTAAGTTTTAATTTTATAAAATCATATTAATTTTGTTTCAAATTAATTTTAAAATCATTTCGATTTGGTTCAGGTATTTTAATTTTTAGTTCGATTTCATTTCAATTTTAAAAAATAAATATCCGATTCGATTCGGTTTTGATTTTGATTTTTCTATATGAAAACCGTTTGAATAAAATTGAACCAAATTAAAAAAATAAAAGAAAATAAGTATCCAAAACAAATTTATTTTGAATTTATTATAAGATAAATTTAAATAAATAAAATATTAAAACTAATAATATTTTTTAAATAAATTTAAATTTGTATACTTGCATTCAATTTAAGCTTTAAATTTGTTTTTTATGTCATTCGATTTCGGTTCCCATTTTCAAAAACTGACAAAGGACGGTTCGATTTATTTTTTATTCAGAAACCGAACCGAACCAAACCGAATACACTCCTAGTCTAACTTAAAAGATATCAAATTCATAACCATCTGACACTCAGAGTGAAAGTTTAGTTAAATTTACATGAGAAAATGACCAAATTAAAAAAATGAAACAAATTCCAAATTCCATGGACTAAAACCATAATTATACCAAAGGTTAATAACATGCCTCGAAAGATTTGCATTATACAGGACCATTTACACATAAGAACAAATTTACTTCAATTGTGAGTCGAAAAAACTAAAACGGGTACATAAATAATTACACTAGTCTCTCGACCTCAATAATTTCTCTAAACACAGTAGATTGCATCCCTTAGCAACATGAACAATCTCAAGAACAACCCGAAATTATGTCATTCCCTGTATAAATCTTGTCAGAAGTAGAGCAGGACCGCCTTTAACGGAGATGATTTTAGAATCGAAAAAGCATCTCATAATCTTCATAAAATGACTGTCAAATATACTTAAGAAAGGGGATGGCACTCTTCATCTTTCTAAGATTATCCTTACCGGTGCTACCTGTTAAATGCTTAACAGTTGATGGCCGGTGACTATATGAGCGAATTACTTCTTCAAAAAGTACATTCCATCTCTGAGCTCTAATTTCTCTTCAGAAACTAGACCTGATAAGAAGCTCTGCAGCTGTTGGAGTGATTTATCATATGGAGGGTCTGCTACACAGAACATCTAAAAGCAAAATGGAGTGTTAGGTTAGCAATTATGTTACTCATATTCAACTTATAGCGTGGGGCATCTTAAAATTATCTTACCTTGAGAGTATTATGAATTCGATCTAATGCCATGCTACCAAAATTTGTGAGCATACCCAAGATGAATTTCTACAATGATCCAACTTTTGGTTAGAGAGCATCATTTAGCAAAATGGCGTGGAAAACTATTTATAAGCACCACATACCTCAAATACAGTCATTTCTTTACGTAGTTGGTCCTCAACAGAAGCCACGGATCTCTCTGCCTCCTCGTCACCGGCTAAAAGCTCCTCACAATTTCCAGTATTACCACTGTTCTTACTAGCATCAATCATGCCTTTGACTAGGGTAAACACATGGTTGCTGGGATCTGTTCCTACTGATTCAGTAAGAACTCCCTGGATAGAAGATTTAGTGAGGAAAATAATTTTGTATATGGACTTCAATTTCCAATGATTCTCCTTTTGATAACCAAACAATACCAAATTTCTGCCTATTTGAAGCTTTTAGCTTCTACTTGCAAAGAAAAATACCAAGAAATTTGTACCGACAACAAATCAAACCAGAGCAGTTTATGTACTTTAACTTGAGAATAAATAACTAAAAAGCTTGCAACTAAGAGAAGGAAGATTTGCATCAACTTACTAATAAAGTTACAAACCACAATTGCAAAGAAAATTTTCTCCATTATCAATATCATGAGCGGCAAAGACATTTTTGCATTACGATATAATAACACATTGAAAATCAAGGGGTAGCCTCAGGCTATTGAGTGCCAAAAGTATAATCCATAATTTTGAACAGGAACTATTTTTTGATATGGAAGAGCATGAGTTACTTAAACATACCTTACTTAACCAAAAACTTATTCTCCTGTTCAGCACATCAACAGGGATCCCAGTAGCAGCAGCAAGATTCTTAGAGGTCCAACTGAAAGTGAATAACAAACAAACCACTATTATATGAACGATAAGATGCAAAGTGTTTAAGATTGCTGAAAGTACCTTGTTTGGTCCTGAAATTGCATTATTATTGCGGCATGCACAGGAGCGACTGTAAATTGCATTGTCTTATCCTCAAATTGCAACTCCAACTAGAACAGTTTCATTGATATAAGCATAAATGTTAGGCACGTGATATAAGGAGGAAAATAAAATAATGCAATAAGAATAATTGATACCAGAAAGAACAATCATTGGCATTCACAAATTACACTTTTTTTTTTTTTAGAGGAATAGGATGCCTCATTAAAAACCTCCCTCATAGTGGTCCTCTGCCCTAAGGTAGGATCAACTAGCGGAAGGAGGAAAAAGAGTGCATCAATTTATTGATAATAAACCAGATACATAAGGCTTAAAAACAGTCTTGCAAACTACATAAAACTTAAAAACAGTCCTGAGGGTACTTTGCTCTTAAGGCTTACACAACTGCCTAAGCAAGGACAAAAATTACCCAATTCCTTCCTTTGCTAACTTATCGGCCTCACAGTTACACCATCTAGGAATCCACCTAACAAGAGCCTAAATAGCAGAAATAATAGACACAATTTCCTTGACAAAGTTTGACAGAAAAGCAGGTGCAAGAGCTTGGTCTTTAATCCAATCCACTGCTATCTTTGAATCGCTTTCAATAATTAGCTTGCCCTTCGAAGCCCATTGTGATGAAACAAATAGGTCAATTCCTTTTTTGATAGCCTTCAGCTCTGCTAGGATAGTAGGAGAAGGACCAACACTTTCTGAAAACGAAAAAAGAATATCCCGATTCCAATCTCTGAGAATACCCCCTATTCCAACATACATACCAACCGTACTAACAGCCCCATCCACGTTCAACTTAAAAAAATCCACTGGAGGAGGACTCCAACAAATCGCCTTCCTATTCATGCCTATGAACTCTGTTAGATTATCAGCCAAAGAAAGGTCAGCAATTAAAGAATCCACCTGAATAGGGATAAGTGGATATTTTGCCAAATACCATTTGGCTAACCTTAACCGCACAGTGAAAAACAATGATAATCTATCCAACTTCTTTTCCTCAAAAATGATCTCATTTCTAATCTTCCATATTGACCACAAGACTGCCCCCGGAATAAACTTCCACATAGCAGATTTAGGATTCACATCAGCCCAAGAACTAAGCAGCGAAGGAGGGTCTGGCGGTAAAACTAACCGAAAACCCCAATACCCTATAATCTTATACCAAAGTTCCCACGAAACTCGACATGAAATGAAAAGATGCTGGATTGATTCATCCTGCAGGTTACAAAGTGGACAAAGAATGTTCTCCCCTAAAGGAACCCCTCTTCTCAACAATTCAACTCTAACAGCAACTTTTTGATGGGACAATTACCAAATGAAGGATTCTACTCTAGGAGGAACTAAGCCCGACCATACACAGTTACTCCAAAATAAAGATTCATCATTACAATTATAAAGAGCTTTCCTGCAAGCTTTAACAGAAAACAGCCCGACATTCAACCCATTCTACAACAACCCATCATCCAATGACTCAATAAGTTTAACATTTTTCAGCCTATCCAACAGCTCTACCAACTGCTCCACCTCCCAATCACATAGATTCCTCCTAGTCTTCACACACCATTCCCATCCGGTTGAATCAAAACTCCCAAAGTCTGCAACATTACCCGTTTTATTAGTAGAAAGGGAAAAATTCTTGGAAAAAGAAATTTCAAAGGAAACTCCCCAAGCCATGTATCACACCAAAAGGATATAGATTTCCCATTCCCAATTTGTATCTTTGCATGAGATCTAAGACAACCTCCGATGGTATCATCCTTCATGAAGTTATTAACAATTCCCCTCCACATCCAAGAGTCATTTTGAGAAATAGCCTTGTTAATATCCATGGTCTGACAGCTGACATTGTGTTTACAACATAAGAATCTCTTCAACATCGAATTTTTGTCATTTGCAAATTTCCAAATCCACTTACCCAACAAAGCTCGGTTTGAAACATTCAAATCAACAACGCCTAAACCACCACCACTCAACGGTTTGCAAATTTTATCCCAACTCACCCAGTGAATTTTCTTCTTTCCATCCCCTCCACCCCATAAAAAATTCGACATCATGGAATTTAACCGGTGAGAAATAGTAGAAGGCATCTTAAAAATGGATAGGTAAAAAAATAGGTAGGGAAGATAAAACCGAGTTAATAAGTACTAGCCTACCGGCCATAGATAGAGAATTAGCTTTCCAGCCTGCCAATTTCTTGCTGAAATTTTCAAAGGCCGGTTCCCAAAGCTTTGCCGAGTTCTTTTTCTCCCCTAAAGGTAGACCTAAGTAAACAGTCGGGAATGAATCAACAGAGCAGCCAATATCCCTAGCCCAAACATCAAGGATGTCACTCTCCACATTAATCCCATACAGCTTGCTTTTTGCTAAATTCAGTTGGAGCCCCGTCAATAAACCAAAAATCCTCAAAACTCTTCTAACATTCTTTATCTGAGTAATTGAATCTCGACAAAAAATAATTAAATCATCTGCAAACTGCAGGTGAGACAAAGTAAAAGAGTTTTGACTGTTTCCAAAAGAAAACCCCTGAAAAAGACCCAAGTCCACTGCTTTCAACAGCATCAAATGTAGTAATTCCCCAACCATGTTAAACAAAAGAGGAGAAAGGCTGCAACCTTGCCTCAAACCTTTAGCAATAGGGAACTCTTCAGTAGGAGAACCATTCACTAGAACCGAGATAGAAGCCGTTGAAATGCACTGTTTGATCCAAGAACACCACCTCTCGCCGAATCCCATCTTTATCATTAACTTTTGCAGAATCTGCCACTCCACAGTGTCGTAGGCTCTGCTAAAATCCACTTTAAATACAACCCCATTAAGTCCTTGCTTCCTCCAAGAATCAATACCTTCGTTAGCTAAACATGCACAATCTAACAATTGCCTTCCCAGAATAAAAGCAAACTGTGACAGACTAATAATATCATCGATACACGATATTAGTCTCTTGGAAAGAACTTTTGACAGAATTTTGTACAGGCTGCCCACAAGACTAATAGGTCTATAGTCTTCAATACACTCAGGATTACCTTTCTTAGGAATCAAGGTAATAAATGCATGATTAACTCCATGAACCCACTTCTTTCCTTTATAGAAATCTGAGAAAAACTCCATGATCTGATTCTTAAGAATTTTCCAGTATTTCTTGTAAAAACCCATGGTAAAACCATCCGGTCCAGGAGCTTTAGTACTATCCGAAGAAGAAATTGCTTGCCATATTTCTTGTTCCGAAAATTCCTCCAAATATGCGCATTGAGATGTTGTTAACTGTGCAAAATCCAAATTCAAGTCCTCTGCCTCCAAGGCCGAATTGGAGTTGTATGCAGACTTGAAAAAAATTATACACACTTTCTTTTATTTTTCCCGCATCCGAAATTAAAACTCCATCAATTTTCAATGAATGAATGGAGTTTACTCTATTCCTTCTCATAGCACTTAGATGAAAGAACTTAGTATTTCTGTCTCCACCCTTAATCCACCTACTTCTGGACTTTTGATACCAAATGCTCTCCTTGATCCTAAACAACCTCCACAGCTCATTTTTGCAGTCAACCCACTGATCCCATTCACCCTTAGATAAGATTCGACATTGAGACTTTCTTTCCAATTCATGTATCTTCCCTTCAAGCATCGAAATTGAATCTGACAACCCAAATTGATTACCTCCAGGCCATCTTTTAATCTGTTTTTTAGCAGCCTGTAGCATCCTAAAAATCCCCCCATTATTCCTCTTCTTCTTCTCAACAAACACCAAGTCTTCTACCCATCCACCAAAACCTTTTTCCTCTAAAAGGTAATTAAAAAATCTAAAAGGTTTAGGGCCCCAATTGATACTAACATCTTCCAACAAAATTGGATTGTGATCAGAAATAGAATTTGATAGAAGGGACTGTGAGATCTTAGGAAAATTGTTTAGGAAACTACCACTAATTAGGAAGCGGTCTAGTCTAACCCATGTAGAATCTTCTCTATTGCTACACCATGTGAAAGTCCCTCCTGACATCGGCAAATCAATAAGATTTGCCTGTTGCACAAAAGATCTGAAAATATCAATTGTATGTCAATTCTGTGATTTCCCATTTTTTTCTTGCGGATCAAGATACGCATTAAAATCACCCCCTATACAAACCGGTAGATCCAACAAACGAACAAAATCTAACAACTCCCCATAAAATTCATCTTTTTCAGATTCAATAACAGGACCATAGACATTAATAAAAGCGAATTCCTCTTGGTCATTCATATAATTTCCCACCAGTGCCAAGAACCTATTGTGCACATGCTTATTTGTAACTTTGAACACATTTTCATTCCACATAGAAATCAAACCACCCTTTGACCCCTGTGCTGGAGACACCATCACCTCCTTTAGGAAATTTCCTCCAATCTTCCTAGTAATCGATACATGACATTTTTCTAACTTTGATTCTTGGATAAAAAGCAGAACTGGTCTAACCTTCTTTACTAGCCTTGCAACAGCAATATATTTCTCTCCTCCCTAACCCTCTAATGTTCCAAGATAAAATGTTTAATCTATTCATCAAAAAACAACACTCCCACAACCAAAAACCAACTCTCCAAACAGCAAAAAAGTGAGACTCTGCAAATCATCCATCCCTTGCTGAGTCAGACCCATCTTCCAGGCTTAAAATTTTTTCTATGAAAGTCTTCTTACCTTCCTTGAACGAAAGGCCTAACACCTGACAAACTTCCCAAGTAACCATTGCTTCCTCCACCACCTTCGAGAATTGAGGTGAAAAGACAATAGGTGAATTAACCAGATCCACTGCTTCCCTAGTTAAAACTCTTCTCGCCCTTCTTTTAGTTCTTTTTGTCCCTGTAGCGGGAATAATACCTACTTCCACAACCTCTGAGGAGCTATTCCTAATAAATGGTACCACAGAAGAGTTCTGATTATTAGCAGAATTAATAGCCTTTTCCAACCCACTTCCCATTTTATCTGAAGAAAACTGCTGAAAGTCTTCTTTTCTAGACAAGAGTTCTTTCTGTTCATTTCCAACCCAGTGATTTCTCACCCTCGATCTACTATAAAATCTTCTATAGCTGGCCATTCTCCTCCTCTCTATTGGCACACTTTTAGAAGAAAGAAATCTTCTATGCTGAATCAACGTTCTGCCTCTTGAAGAAAACTGTGAGGATTCCTGATTAGGAGCTGACTGCATTAAATTAGGATTTAAAGGCTCAATTTCTTCACAGTCCTCAAAATTCATTGAATTTCTCTTCTTCTCACAAAAAGAAGAATCACTACCCGCATTGAGAATCACTTGATTGACATCCTTAACCATTCTCAACTTCTTTTGAACAGTTCTATTGTTATCTATAGCTTCATCCCTCACTACATCTGTATCTTGCTCTTGAAAATCAGACAAAGGCTGATCATTTTTTTTATTTACTGCCCTGGCCCAATTCAACTTCACAGCAGGGCCCGTTGGGAAAATTTTTGTTATAGGAGAAAGATACTCCCCATTTGAATCAGAATGGGCTTGGATACTCTGGTCCACAGCCTCTCGCAGCCCAATTCCTGCATAGTCCCCACAATAGTTAAAATCAAATTCAAATTTGTCTGACACCCCATTAACATTGGGCAGAGTGACAGACTTCTTTTTCAAATAATGTTCCCCATCTTCTTCTGACATCCTCCTTTCTAGACTGGTCTGAAGCCACATGTCTACCTTTGACCGAAATCCTTCTTCTAAATTTTCCCTGTTGTCTTCTTCCTTCTCTAAGTTTCTACCATCGTCCCCCTTTGACACATCGTTATTGCAGCTGTTATATGAAAAATTCTGCCTCACGACTCCAAAATCTTCAGAGATAGGATTACACCTGGTACCCACATTAATTTTAACTTTAAAGGATCTGCCATAAGAACCCACAATAACCGATTCTTGTACATCAAAAGGGCTTGCAACCCTTAACAACATTTTAGCCGAAGAAAGATCATCTCTATTTCTTGTTTCCTCCAGGATACTCACAACCTTTCCCCATTTTTCACCAAGATTCTCCAAAAAAGGAACACTCCAACTAAGAAGCGGTAAACCAACCAACTCGACCAAGCAATAAGCCAAAGGAACTCCATCTTCACTCAACAACGGATCTACCCAATCAAACCAGCAGTATAGTTTCTCTCGGAGACTCGACCATGCCTCTAAAAACTCTTCATTTGTGTTGTACATAATAATGCTGGCATTCCTGATATATCCCCACCTTATTATCTTAACCTGGAATCCCTCCTTTGCCAAAGCTCTCTTCACCATATCAGGCTGAAAGGGATCTTTGATAACCCCTGTTAAGGAGTTTTTCACCCAGCAAAAATCATCTGATGGGATATGCATATCCCAAACATTTCTTATTCCATTTGCATTCTTCTGACCTCCCTTATTCACCATATTACCTGGATCCACGCTCCTACTGTTGACCACATTCACAACCTCCTTATACGATCTTTCATCTCTCAAACTTCTCGGTTTCTCCAACTCAGCCTGCAGTTCACCATTAACCTCTCTACCCAGCTTAAAACCATGCAACTGATTTCTTTTTACCTATGCTTCTCTTTTTCTGCCCCTCTTGTACTTTGCAATCCCCACTAAGACTCTCTTCCCATCAATCAGCGTACCGTTTACATTATGAACTGCTCTTCTGCAACCTACCTCCTTCGCAAATTGCACAAAGGCAAATGTGGATGACTTATAATTTGGTTTAGACATAAAACTTGGAATATAAACCCTCACTATTTTTCCATAATGGTTAAAAATCTCTCTTAACTCAAATCTAGTAACTCTCGTACTAAGATTGTCAACAAAGACAGTCCATTCCTCACCAGAGGACGAACTACCAAACAAACTCGCTCTTTTTCTCTCTCTACTTTTCTCACTCATTGTTTTTTTATGGATTTTAAGTTATACAAATTACACTTTAAGAGACCTAACCTTGACCGTTCCAAGATTTTTCTTCCAAAGTAGCTTTCTAGGAGTTTTGATTTCATGAAACCTTCTTGCATAATCAGAGAGCAGTTGATCAACGGAATCAGGAATGATAAGGGCTTCTTCCTGAAAATTTTCAGAACATTAATGAAAAGTATACCAAAATAATTTGAAATACTAGATTACTTCAACAAAAAAAATGGATTTTGGTAAGTTACATAAGCATGGGCAACAAGGAAACTACAAGTTTCTTGGACACAACCATATTCTACATCTGAATTGCCTTCTTTGGACAAACACCATCCTCCACAGGTTTCTCTTGCATATTTTTACAAAGTCATTAAAATTATACCCCATTTCAGGCCATCAATTTATGTTCTCTTCACAGATATGGTCTTTATGAACATCAAAGGAGAAATGAAAAAGAGGAAAATATGAAACAAAAGGTGGCATGATAGATTACACGTTAAGAAGATTGATTAAAAATTCAATTCTCTCAATTTCTTTGGTATAATTGATTCCCTAGGCTGTTTTTTGTTGGTGCTCTTCTTAATGCTTTTACTTCTCTAAATAGCATGAATTGAATATAAGGGAGCAATACCAAAAAGTAAAAGCACAAATCAAACAGAGCTCTAACTATCATGTATTAGCCCTTCCTCTGATCAAATAATATCTTCGCCAAAAGAGCACTTAGGCTTTGGCAAATAATAAACTTAAAGCCGAAAGGCGAAAGGGAAAAAGCATATTGTAAATGTTATTTTGAGATGTTTTAAACCTTTTCCTACCACCAATAACAAAGTGCAAAATAACTTTTAATAATTGAATGCAAAAAATAACCAATATCAAAGAAGCACATGCCTGGATTGGAGGCCAGAAATTTGAAGATATGATTGTAGCATCAAGATTATCCAAGGAAATACCAGCCTCTGATGAATGTGGATCTTAGAATTTCAACAAAAGTTAAACAGATTAGGATAGAAGGTAGAATAAGTAGCTCCCAAGCTATCCATATCTAAAACTTCTACAAAACCAGGGAATACCTATTTGAGATGTTTTATTAATGGTTGCTTTAATGTTGGTATTTGTCCTCTTGGAATCAATCAAATCATTAAGCATGATTTCACATTTCTGCATGCTACTCTCACCAAAATGTATCTGAAAAACAAGAATATGCAAAAGAGCAAGTTTTAAAAGAAACATTGAACAGGGGAAAATAGAATAGAATGATTACAATAACAACCTTGAGGAGTTCTACAGTCCGTATCTCCGAGTCAATGTCATAATCCGATTTGTTCAGAAGTTTTTCAGCAAGCATAACACGGTATTCATTAACAAGTTGGTCCTTTGAACCAATTATGCCAACAATCATTCCAAGTATGTCAATCTTCCTTCTATTTCGGCTACCTTTTAATGGGTCAGCCTCAACAGGGTCGGGTTCCCAGCTGAACAAGAAAGAACTCTCAGAGTCGCAAGTCAACATGACAAATATGACAGCATAGCTCACATACATGTAAATTATAGTTGTCAATAACAGCTATAGCCGTATACATACCGTTGTGCATCAATCCAAGCTTGCTTGTCATCTGTATTAAAATCATCGTCGATTACAACATTTTCTTGATTTTCTTCATCTCTATTTAATTCCTCAAGAAGGCTATCTCCACTGTTTCCAGATCCATTTGGATTACCGCTAGTGCCATCTGTAAGCATGGTCACAATGCACTTTATGGTGTCTTTTCTTCCCCTCAAGTAGTCCCTTATTGGTTCACCAACAGCTTCAAGAAAAACACCAGCTGGGTCTATGGTCCGGAGTGCCTTGATTGTTGAAACATATTGATGTAATATGTCATTGGTTGAGGCACCCGCAGTAAGTAAGCGGTATCTTAGAGCAGAAATAAAAGATTCAACCAGCTTAGAGTGCTGTCCAGTATATTCAAGACACTGCTTCAAGTCCTCAATTGCAGGAGAACTGTAATAGTCCGGAATAATTTAAACATTGAGGAATTTCTACTAATATTTTATATAGCATCACCAACATCCATTCAAGCAATGAACAAATAAAACAAAAAGGCAGTACCGTAAGTTATATATAACTCCCTCTGTCTTCTTTCACCCCAAATCCAGAGGGAGGAGAAAGGGTGGGGGAGGGGACAACCCCTCTAGGGGGAAATTCTTTTAAGAATGTTACAAATCAATGCAAAAATTCTCTCTTTACCCCCTTCGGTGCAAAAGGATTTGAGCTACATAACGAGATGTAACTGTGTCCCTATCAAACCTCACCCTGCCCGCAAAAGTCAGAACTATATCTTCCTTGGAAAGAGAACTATTCAAACTCATCAAGATTCACCTGGTTGAACTGCAGGAAAAATGAAAACTGAATAGAAAAAGTGTTACCTCTCAGGATAGTCAACAATAATCTCAAACAGTTTGGCAATCCTTAAGTCTTGCAATGTTTCATAAGCAAAATACTCTAGCCGCAATTTCCATCTAATAAGTCCTTCTGATGGAGTATTTGCTCCAAAATAGCATGAAGATAGCTGTGAAGCCAGAGGTGATTTGCTACCAGGTGAATGTTGGGCAAAACCAGTAGAATCACCAAGATAGGCAAGCAATGCATTCAGGAATTGCAGAGGAACAACCTGTGCAATATTCTCCAAATGTAAGAAATAATCTCCCAGTAACTTAACCATGACTTCTTACAGTTGTTTTCAATGAAAAGGGAAAATGTGAAGGATTCATAAACATCAAAAACAACCTGTATCCAACCCTTAATGGAATCCAAAACAGAACTCCGGTAATCATCACCAGCCAGATCATGTACTTTAGCCTGTATGCAAATAAGGAATGCTATTTCAAATAATATAAATTTATAAAGCTTGAAACATGACATAACATAACATTTTCTTAAAAAGAATAATTAAAAAAAGACATACAAATTTCCATAGCAAATGATCAGATTACTATATTGAGCTCAATGAGATAAGCTGTGCATTACATATTTTAAAATAAATAACAAGCCCACCTTCAGAAGCATGAAGATAGCAGAAGCATAGGCATCTTCAGTCATGGATGTGAATCCAAGATTTCGAAGATCACGAACAACCTTCCCAATGTTCTTCACCAATTTATTGTTCTCGGGAAACTTGTCATGGGAATAGCACTTGTCGATGTCCATTTCACCAGTTCGATACTTAATCTTTTCATCCAAATCCATCTCATCTCTATCTCGTTGCTCATTTTCCTCATTCAATTCTCCATCCATTATGGTATTCAACTCATCAAGCCTTCCCTTAAAATAAAAGTGAAGCACCTCTAACAAAATCAATGAAATTATCAGCTAATAATCAAATAATAAACCCAGTTATGCATAAAACTTTTTTTTACTAAAAAGCTTGTAATTTCTTACTGGGGAAATGTCGAGGAAGGTTGGCCATAAGCATGGAAGAAACAATTAATTGATACTTTGAAAAAAGATAATCTTTTCCCACATCAAAGTTGGGCTTTTCATCAGATGAATTATCCACATAGGACTGTAAAGCATGAACTAACATTAACAAGCATTTCTCTTTATTTTCTTTTTCTAAACAAATCTCCTCCAGAGCATTGCAAAGCACTGTTTGAATCTCATCCTCATCAATCTTATCTAAATCTTCTTCAATTTTGCTATAGTTCTCAAAATGTAGCCAAAATCTCGACGCCCCATTTTTCTCAAACGCTTCCTATAATTAAAGAAAATACAATCAACAAAAACTGATATGGAAAGAGACTTATATAGCTTAATCGATTATTACCTCGAGTGACCTAAGAAAATAGTCCAGAGCGAGACTACGGAGGCCGTTTTTGCAGAGAGTTTGAACGTGGGAAACGAAGTCGTGTTCGACGGAGAGATCGCTCGAGCCGTTGAGGAGAGATTTAGCAGCAGCGCAGAAACCGTCGTAGCTTTGGAGGATTTCTTGGAGGGTGTCGTCATTGGGACTCATCAAAGTCCCTAGATTGCCCACTGGAGAAGAAGTTAATGCCTCCATCATTGACGATAATTATGATAAAATAACTCAATGTTTTCTCCTTGCTTCGAAAACACTAGCTTAAGCCTTACTGCCTCAGCTTGGAACTGAACGCTGGAATTTTTAGTTCCATTTTCCTTTTAGAATTCTTCTTTACCGCCACTGCCCATGAAACGCGTTGCTCTACTTCCACCAAAACGACGCATGGAATGTGTCGTTTTGTGTTTTAAAATCGAATGGCAAAATGCATCATAGGTTCCAGCACTTTGAAAAAAAAAACCAATGTGGCCTTCAAATTATTTTTCTGTCAATGTGACCCTTCAACTTAGAAAATAAATCCAATTTAACCTTTTGACCGATGTTCTTTCGTTGTTGACTAATATAGTGCTGACATGGCAGTTCACTGTACTGACATGGCGGTTCATGATGCTGACATGGCAGTCCACTGTGGTTGATAATGTGACGGATGATATGACAAATTAACTAAAATGGTAACTCAAATATGGCAGATTAACTGCCACATCAGCATCATAGACCGTCATGTCAGCACTGTGAACTGTCACGCCAGCACCATAGCGGTCAACTACAAAAAAAAAAGTTAGTCAAAGGGCTACATTGGATTTGTTTTCTGAGTTGGAGGGTCATATTGAGAAAAAAATAATATAAAGCGTACATTGATATTTTTTCAAAAATATATGGAATTCTGATTTCTTTCAATCGAATCACTTTTATTCCAATTGTGATTTTAATCCATCCACGTTCCTCAAACTAATTTGACATAAATCAATGGATTAATAACATTTTTTACCCTCTTATAATATTTTATTTTTCATCCAGTTTTATGAATGATTTTGGGTATGGATTGCCCAAGTATGATATTTATGATGATGAATTCTAAATATTTACAGTTATTATATGATTTTCAGTTATCAGATATTTATAGTTATTAGATAATTTTCAGTTATCAAATGTTTTACAGTTATCAAACGTAGATTAATAAATTATTTTATGATGATAAATATAAGTTCATTGTATGTTGCATTGAGAGTCGTATGTACATTTGACATGCCATTAAGTGAGTGCTTATCAATTATCAGTTATCAGATCTACTACATTCGCGTATCAATGTTTAGCACTGTTAGTGCTCAGGTTATAAAAGCACTGAAGTGCATCATATCGCAGTTTCAGTTATGATTTGACATCGTGTTGTGTCGAGTGTGCTACTTATACTTACATACATTGTATTCTCTTACATATACATTGAGCTATAACAATAAGTGTGAATGTTATGACAATATATAAAAGAAAATAACATATAATTGAAAAGAAAGTTATGAAATATGTTCGAATGAAAAGAAAAAAAAACTATTTATGATATTTAATGATGAATTACATGATTTTTGATACAATCATGAGATGATGATTTTAACGTTTTCATAAGGAAAATGGTCTGACTAGTTCGGTTTGAAGTTTTAATTGTTTTTTATTTAAATTTCCAATTTATTATTTATATTTTATGGATTTTATGTTTTAGCTATATTTCTGCCTCGTTAAGTTTTACTTAACGTGTGATGATTTTCATGCGTATTTTCGAATAAAGTAGTGGATGTGAAGTGATGAGTTTGTTAGCATCTTATGGAAAATCAAACCTAGTGACAGTATCAGTTAGACATCCTAACTTTGACTTATTAGTGACATGTATATTATATCTGTTGGGTTGCTTTATCATATTTATTTTAAAAGAGTTTGTGAGAGAATAATATAAATGTTATATTTTAAATGGTTTAAAATTGAGCGGTATTAGGCAGTTGTATTTGGATATGAAACAACACTGAACTACCTAATTACTGACTGAAATCGGATTAGTTTCAATGATCAAACAATATTTTTATAAATTTATATGATTAAGGAAAAAACTTTTTTAAAAATAAAAAGGAAATTATTAAATGAAACAAAAATTTTAAACAACTTAAGTTCAGTCAATGTCAGTTGAGTTGATATGATATATTTATTACGAGACATATACGAGATAAGGGTGTTACAATAAACGTATCTTTTCACAATCCATGCATGGCCAAAACTTGATCAAACCAGGCTTAAAATCAAGCTCATCTCAGTCTCGATCGTCTTCCACTCATCGGGTTTCCTGATAAGGGGTCGCTCTACTTCATCCCATGAAAAGTAAGGGTTGAAAAGAGGGCCATGGACTGCTGAAGAAGACCAAAGACTCACCTCTTATATCCAACAACATGGCCATGGAACTTGGAAGCTGGAGCTCCTTGCCTGAGAAAGCAGGTGATTTGATTTATGAGCTTAAATTTTATCTTCTTTTTATCACGTTTAATCTTTTGGTTATTTTGTTTTTAGGGTTAAAGCGTTGTGGTAAGAGTTGTAGGTTGAGATGGATTAACTATCTACGACCTGATATCAAGAGAGGAATGTTCAGAGTCCAGGAAGAACAAACCATTATTCAGCTCCATGCTTTTCTTGGCAACAGGTGATCATTAAGATTCCAGTCTTTTTTTCTTGTTTGATCTTAAAAAGAAACACGTGGAGCTTTGAATTGTGTTTTTTTGTTTTGGTTTTATAATTTTAGATGGTCAGCTATAGCAGTTCATTTGTCGAAGAGAACTGATAATGAGATCAAGAACCACTGGAACACTCATCTGAAGAAGAGGCTAATCAAGATGGGGATTGATCCCGTGACCCACAAGCCTCGGGTCGATGCACTCGGCTCGTTCGGCCACGGATGTCACGATGCGAATGTAAACCATATGCCACGTGATTTGCCGAATCTCGGCCGAACCCAACCGAAGATCCACTCCGGGACTGATCCGGTGATCCCTTACCTATAAGCAAGCCGAGACAGAAGTGTCTCGATGTGCTCAAAGCATGGCAAGGTATGGTTACCGGATTGTTTAACTTCCCAAACCAAGACAACATTGGCTCTCCAACCTCGATGTTGAACTCCTCGAGTGCTCCGATTCAAGTTTCGATTGGCGAAACCGTCGCGGATTGTAATGCCGCCGATCATTTATATACATGAAATGAATTGGTTTACGTGGATGAATGGAAACGTACTAATCAAATGCAAGAACTAGAAGACTGGATGGATGAGTCTACGTTGTCGTCGATGGCATTAACGCAAGTGTTGACGACGTACGCATCAGAAAATGCATGGTCTACCGATAACGTAGCGGCGGCAGCTGCAGATTTTAAGGAGGTCTCATCAGAATCAGATGCTTTGATTGGTATTCCAGTTTCGTTTTCATCAATGGAAGTTGAAGCATCAAATGGAAGCTACACAATAGCCGATAATGGTAGCCATAGTGGCTGGATGTTAGAGTAATAATGTATCACCATTTTGTAATACTGTGCAGTACGATGGCCGTTTTGTTTTGTCAATCACTGCGAATCGGCATAGTTTATGCATGCATGCAATGATTAATCATTTCATTTCGAACATAATTCTGAACCAGACTGCTAATTATTTTTGAACGTCAATGTAACGATTAATGATCATTTCGAACGTTTCATGCACAAGAGAAACCTAGATCAATAAATCTTGAAACTTATATATATGATGCTAATTATTTTCAACACAGATTTCCTGGTGAGTCTATTTGTATCACACGGGCTATCAGACTCGTCCATTAATAAGTGTAATTTGTGATACGTCATATGATCTCAAAATTTAGGATCACACACTTTAAAAATAACACATTGATCCAAAAAATATATTTTTCCTATTATACGGAAGTGTGAAGAAAATTCAACAAAGAATATTTAATTTCATATGTTCGAAAATTTTCTATTTTATAAAAAAAAAAATCATAATACGATAAATTTAGATATTTTATAATTTCATCATCGACTATAACACATGTCTTTAACCTTTTTGAGATATGCTTAAGTTGCAGCTGCTATGATTTCGGTAGATAAGTGATCAAGACAATATATGCGTTCCTTCCAATATTCCATTATTGCACCTTATGATAATTAAGGTCCCTCCCTAGTATAGATTGGTCCACCTCAATTTGGTCATACATTTTAGGCTCGAATTTCAAGATTAGGGATATTCTCCGTTACGTTTCAATCTCAATTCAGACCTATATTTTAAGCTCGATTTTCAAGATTTGGGGTATTCTTCATTACATATCAACACCGATTCGGACATATATTGGCTCGAATTTCAATATTAAGTGATACTATCGCTACGTTTCGACCTCAATTAGTACATACTTTAATCGTTGTTTTGGGAAATGACCATCCAGTTCAGTTGGTAGAGCACAAGGTTCTAAACCTTGAGGTCGTGGGATCAAGTCCCACGGAGGGCATTTCATAATTTGGAGGTCTCCTACGGAAGCTGCTCTCAACCTGGTGTTGGAGGCAGCCTACTATCTTACCTCCCCCTTACCCCATACATATGGGAAAAAAGGGACAGCCATTTTTAATCGTTGTTTTGGATTGTGAACCTTCTTCCTGAAAAGAGGAGCTCTATATCTTAAACAGCTACAGCTTGGCTTGATGAACCGGCCGACAACGAACACGGAAACAAATATGGATAAGAAGGTCCACAGTTGTTCTATAGAGCGTGTGCTCATTATCAATTAATTAAAAATATTTTGAACATGTATCTTTGATCCGGATTCGAGTATTATAAATATTAGAGGTATGAATGTTTAATATTGAAAAATTGAGAATTTATTTTTGAATATATATCGCTTGTACTTATCTAGATCGTCAATATTTCATCAAGTAGTTGAACTAATTTATTTGGAATTCCACCCCAGTTGATTATCGTCTCTTATATATTTGCCTCCTATCACTATTTTACTCTTCACTTCCAATCAATTCTCCTCTCTTTTTCATATCCTGTCCTTTTTGTTCTTCTTCTCAACAAATCACTTCTTTTAACCATTCAGTACAAGAAAATCAAAATTCATTCACTCAACTCCCAATTCTCAGGCAGCCTGTTATTTAGTTTCGCTTCGGTTTACGGCCAAAATGCGGTGGCGGTCGTCTCTGAACAATGACAATAAGAAGGTGGCCGGCTTGAATAGAGGTCCATGGACAGCTGAAGAAGACGAAATACTAAGGGCTTACATTAAAAAACACGGCCATGGTAACTGGTGTGCCTTGCCTCAGAAAGCTGGTAATTGTTTAGCCTTATAATCATTTTGTCAGTCTTTATATGTAATATCTTGTTTAAAATTTGCATGGTTTTCGATTTGGTTTATGTATACAGGACTTCAACGATGTGGGAAGAGTTGTCGGTTGAGGTGGATTAATTACCTAAGACCTGATATTAAAAGAGGAAACTTTAGTTTACGAGAAGAACAAACCATCATTCAACTCCATGCCCTTCTTGGAAACAGGTAATTATAGCAGTTCGCTTATTGTTATTAACATTCGATGTTCATGTTTTTTGGTTTGTCCGAATTTACTTAGGTGGTCGGCCATGGTAGCTCACTTGCCGAACAGGACCGACAACGAGATCAAGAACCATTGGAATACGCACATCAAGAAAAGGCTGGTAAAGCTAGGGATCGATCCAATGACTCACAAGCCCCGCGTAGAGGCATCGGCCACTCCCTCTGGTTTGATCAAGAACAGTTCGAATCTAAGCCACATGACTCAGTGGGAGAGTGTTCGGCTCGAGGCCGAGGCTAGGATGGTCCGTGACTCGAAACAGGTCATCCCGAACCCGAATCCGATTCACCCGAAGAACAAGCACCCTGCGCTCGATCCGAATTGGATCGGTCGACCTAGGTGCCTCGACGTACTCCAAGCATGGCAAGGTGTAGTTGCAGGCATGCTCGCCTTCCCCAACCGGGGGTTCGGTTTCTCCGCCGTTGGACATACTGCCACTAGCTACACGGATGGTGAATTGGGGTTTGATGCATTGAAATGCGTTGATGGATCGAACCAACTGCATGAAATTGAGGAAACGATTAGCGATATCGACGCATGGTTTGAGGACTCATTTAGGGTTGAAAATTATGAAAATGCCGAAGGTTCGGCTTTGGATGTACCGATGGTTTGGGATAACGTGCATGATCTGGTGAACTCTTTATCATCTGATATATCTGTATTTTGCTCGTAATCTAATGAGGTCGAGTAGTTATATTTATGGGGTTTGTGCTTTGTCAATAATTAATTATTTCATAATATTAAAAAAATATTAAAAAATAAATTTATTTTGTTATGAATAAATAAATCTATTTACTTGTGTAATTCTCAAAAAGTTAAATGATAACATTCGATCCTATTTCATATTATTGGCCATGATTTTTTATGACGACAAACAATATTTTAATTTAGAAAAATATGATGAAAACTACAAAATAAATTAATTAGTCTAATGGGATGAGACACTAGATTCCTTAAGCAATGTCAGATGTTCGAATCCTGACATTACGAATAGAACAAATTGGATTGGTGGTGTCACCATTGTCACTGCTTATTAAAGTATAGATGTTTGGTAAAATTATTTAAGTACGATATCGTAAAGTTATTCTTTACTAAAGTAAAATATGTTTTACTCCTCAAAATTTTAGTTCACCCCTAAATTTAAATTCGCCCGGTAATATCTTTCTATCGAATTTAAGGCTGATTTTCAGCTATGTATCAGCATATATTAATGCGTAGAACAGTGGGAATTGAAGTATGAGACATGTAAATCAGTGCCACTTCAAGGCGGGATAAAGGGTGTAGTTGAACAGTAAAAGCTATGAGCAATAACTGTACGCTAAGTGTCGGTTCGATCCTCATCATTGCCATTGGCATCAGCAACTCTCATCATCGCCATTTCCATTTCCATTCGCCATTTGCAGTCAAATTCCTCGCAACAAGTTCCCGTAAACATTGTGAAACCAGCAACTGTAAACAAAAAGATCATAAATATATCTATCTCAAGTGTGTTCTCAGTTCAACTGTTTTGTTTTTCCTGTTGCTTAATCTGCAAACCTACTTTTTCATGGCACCTCTCGTGCTTTATGAGGAGTTGTTATGCAATTCATTTTGTAGCTCATCAACTCTATTTAAGATTCATTGCTAACTTACTTTCTAGTGAATTATTAGATGCAACTTGGTCAATAATATGGATGATATCTCTTAATATGATGTATTATTTGCATATAAATTTAGAAGAATGCAATTATACTAGCGTAAAAACACTTCAAGCTTGTCATTAACATGATGACTTAGATGTGATAGTCGTTTGAGATTCTGTGATCATGTTTTACTATCTCACAGTCAATAATTTAACGTTTAGCTTAGAATACATCAATTTTTTAACAGAAAATGATGTGTTTTGAAAATAATGAATCATTTTGTAACTTTTGATAGTCAAGGGACTCAACAAAAGCAACACTCTATAATCGGAGGATCATTTTATAACTTTTAATAGTCTATTAACTTAATAAAATAATACTTTATAATCGGGAACCATTTATATACTTTATCTTATAATTATATTTTTACTATCAACAGTTAAATTATTAAAATATTAATTGTATCCAACTAACTCTAACATCTCAAGAATAATTGTTAGGAAATACCTAAGACCCAATTAGAATTTATATAGGAATTTACAGATTATCCACCAAAAGTGACAATAGTAAGATTCGAATTTGACCTTACAAACTCAAATTCCTAAATTTCAACCATTTATTCTAACACTCGTTAACCGTATAAGAAATATTTTTTTGAAAGACCAACAACTTATGCACTTAATAATTTTACCAAATCATATCATCATAATCATTGTAATTAAAACGGGAAAGTCTCACGTGCGACAACCTTAATATACAGTTAAGGAAAGACGCTATTAGTTTTGTTATTATTTTTTTAACAAAAAGGTAAAAAAATTTGTCAAATAAAATAAAGTTGATATTTAAATCTATCAATTGGTCGAGTGGTTAAAAATGTTCATGTCATTCTACGATATGTAGATTTATAAATTTGTTGTGCCTATTTTGAGGAACTTTTTTTTTTCTTGATACACATTAATAGGACTCAACGTTTCAAATTTGTTTGGGCTTTAATACTATCTTACCTTTAGTCCTTATATTATCACTCTCTACGTTATTAATACATTGATCCACTAAATTAACATCAACGCCAATATTTTATACTATTGAATTATTATTTTTAATATAAGCAATTAATATTATTAAAAAGTGAAAATATCTAAAATTACAATAAGGGTATACAATTATCATCGCAAACTAAATATATGATTTGAGCATTTTCCTATAAAAATGAAACTAGCAACTTTAGGTCATATAAAGATCATACATGAAAAATGTTACACACCCAACCAAAAGTCTCGAACAAAAAATAGATATGAATAAATCCGATTGTATCGACAAATGAACCAGAAAAAGGGATTAAACTATTGGAAGACCACTGAAAATCGCAAAGCATAGTCGAGCATCGTGAGAACTATCCACGAACACAAAATCACGTATTCAAAATCAATCCAAGGGTTCATAGCAAAGAAGATCAACATTATTATAAATAAACATCATCTTGATTAGTCGTGACGTCGTCAAATCTCACTCTAGGAAAATATAAATAAAAGAATGACCAAAAATAGAATTATTCTTACTAAAAATTAAAAAAAACAAAGAGAATATATAACAGACGGACGAGAACCAAAATCGAAACCAATCTATGAATATAATGAAGATAAAATGATCCATAAAGGAATCTACGCATACACCACACCTAAGTAGAATCAATAAAGCCCCAATACAACTCCAACACTCGTTAGTAGAAACAACCTTATTGACGGGACAGTGCGGCACTCTTAACATACAGTTAAAAAAATATATTATTGATTTTGTTATTATTTAAATAATAAAAATTGATATATTTTTTTAAAATATTATTATTTTTACCTAAAACATTAATATTTTTTAATATTTTCGATAAAGTGTTTAACAATAATAAAATTGATTGAAAAAATAATAAAACCAATATCATATTGACTCACCAAAAGCTAGAACAACCTTTAACTCTACTTGATATTTTTAGATATTTTTTATTGATAAAATATTTTTAAAATAAATAAAGAAAAAATTTTCAAATCACAAGCTGCCTTCAAGCGATAATGTTATGTTATTATCTCGTTGCAGTGCCATAATACCTTTTGCGAAAGGCTGCAGTAGCAGCCCATTAATATTATGTTATTAATCACTCACGACAAAAGGAGTAATTTCAAAGGCTGCCCTTGTTTAATAAGGTAAGATGCCCCTTCCAAGGGAAGGCAGCGACGACGTGTTCTCAATCATGACCAGAAACAGCAAACTTAATGTTCTCTTAATAAAATCCATTATCACAATCAATCACATGTAAAAACGGTTACATGATTTTATGTTAGATGTGATGAATTTAAATTTATAAAATTTTAAACGAATAAATCTGAAATTATAAAAATTTAAAAGATAAAAAATAAATTTTTAATAAAAAAATATAATTTCTATATGAAAGAGAAACTGAGGGTGGCACGTGATGGAGGGATTGGATTTCACACTTCACCCATCACCGGTCCATATTAATTTTGAGTAATGGTGCTTATCAATTTTTACATTTACTTCATTTCTCCATTGCCCATAAATGTATCAAACTTTTACGGTACGTATTTAATAACTAAATTATTAATTTTAGTTTATTTTAATATCTAAATTTTGAAATTTTTAAAATCATATTTAATATTTAGTTTTCATTTTTTTAGTATCCGCCGTTAAAAATTTAACATGTTTAGTACTTAAACATTTACATTTTTTTCAAAACTTAATGATGAATTTTGAATAGGGTACTAAAATAAAACAAAACTAAAGATTTTAACGCATGATACTAGAATGAAACAAAAACTAAAGTCTAGGTATGATTTTGAAAAATTAAAAGTTTTGGTACTTAAACTGACCAAAGCTGATAGTTTAGGTGTTAAAGAGTAGTTTAGCCCTTTTTATTAGTTTGCGATGCTTACAAATTGTAATATATGTTCTAAAGACTCTCAATCATTTGACAATGAAAACTCAAATTCGCTACAATTTCTAGTGCTCAAACCTAAGACCTATTAAAATAACAAATATTTTTTTAACCACTAAATTAATTTATTTCGTGACATAAATATAACAATCTAAAGCATGAACAAATTAATATATATATATATATGTGTGTGTGTGTTGGGGGTAAATGGATTGGTGGACACCCCTAATATCTATAATACTCGAATCCAAATCTTCAAAAAATAATAATAATTTTTTTATCACGAAACCGCTTAATTTATACTATAAACATTTTTCCTGAATAAATTCGTACCGTCTTTTTCCCGTGTGAAAGTCTCGTCTTTTTAATCTGGTGGAATAAATTTCTTCTGGACCCCCCAAATAAATATATTGCATAATTGCAGTCCCGTCTTTTTCCAGAATTATTTTATTCAGAAGTAATTATTCTTGATAAGTTCGAAATTAATTGGTTAGTACTAAAGTGCAACTTTTCCTTCAATTGTACAATATTAGATGATTGAAGGTCAAATTCTGTGTTTCACCCCTGTACTATAGGAAATTTGTGGATTTAACATCAAACGTTTGGTGACATATGGCATTCCCATTCTTTTTTTCCCCCACCAAATATTTGATGACACGTGACATACCAATTCCATTAACAGGGATAAGAGAAAATAAATTGAGAGACCAAATTTTTACATTTTCAAAAGTGGAAGTACCAAATTTGAGTAAATTAAAGTGAATTTAAAGTTTCCTATAGTACACGAGCTAAATGCAAAATCTGATCATGTTTGAAAATTAAAAATAAGATACATCACCTTACCAAATTGTATCTTTTTACACGTAGACACTCATTTTTATCTGAGTTTATACATTATTATTATTATTATTATTTATCTAATATTATTATTATTAATTTTTTTTATTTTACATTTTGTAGACCCTATAATTGTGGCTCAATTTACAAGACTGAAGTTAGACCCGACCCAAGTCAATAAACCTGAAGCCCAACTAAATTGACCCAAATAACAAACCTGACCTGACCCAACTAAGGTTTCTAAACCTAACCTTAATCTGACCTAACCCT